CAAATGGAAAAGTGTTAGTTACTGGTGGATATTCTAATAGTCTTAATGGTTTAAATAGTGCTGAGTTGTATGATCCATCGATAGGAGTGTGGACAAGTACTGGTAATATGAATTCCATGCGATATGGACACACAGCATCGGTATTAACAAATGGAAAAGTATTAGTTAGTGGTGGAACCCCTAATAATACTGCTTGTTGGAACCAGGCTGAGTTGTATGATCCATCGACAGGAGTGTGGACAAGCACTGGTAATATGAATTATCAACGATATATGCCTCAAGCATCGGTATTAACAAATGGAAAAGCGTTAGTTACTAGTGGTGACAGCTGTAGCTCTGGTTTGTTGAATAGTGCTGAGTTGTATAATCCATCAACAGGAGTATGGACAAGCACTGGCAATATGAATTATGCACGATACCGCCACGCATCGTCGGTATTAACAAACGGAAAAGTGTTAGTTACTGGTGGAGTAGGCGGCGGCGGCGGCGGTGGTTACTTAAATAGTGCGGAGTTGTATGATCCATCGACAGGAGCGTGGACAAGCACTAGTAATATGAATTATGCACGACAGTTGGACACATCATCAGTATTAACAAATGGAATAGTGTTAGTTACTGGTGGATCCAACGGTACTTCTGCTATCAATACTTGTGAGTTGTATAATCCATGATAAATAAATAATTAATCGGCATTTTGTTTCAACTTTTCGATCAGTGAAGTAGATAATGAAAACTATTTCAACATAAAAACTCTTCATTTACTGACAATGAAATTCCTTTTTTCAAGTGTTTTTTGCATTCGTCATATCCTTAATAAATTTGAATTTCTTCTCTTGGTGTTTCGCTGAGGGTGTGGGGTGTGTTAGCCGAATGACTTGTATAAAGTCAAATCAAAAGCTAGCAGGACATGTGTTTCGATTACCGCTAAGATAATCATTTATCAATTGCTTAAGATTTTAAGATAGAATAAGCTGGGTGTGCGTGTGGGTGTGACAAGCTGCCATGACACGTGTTTCGATCTTGCTTAAGGATCTCATTCAGATGGCAATAGCACTCGAGAATTTTAAAGTGAAATCCTAAGTACTAGATTTATACTGTTACAATGAAACCTAAGAAGATTCCAAAGTAATGATAAATTCTCACAGCAGTGTGTGACAAGCTGCCATGACACGTGTTTCGATCTTGCTTAAGGGTGTGGATGGATGTGGGGTGTGGATGGATGTGGGGTGTGGATGGATGTGGGGTGTGGATGGATGTGGGGTGTGGGTGGGGTGTATATAAGTTACCACGATAACCTAATAGATTATTTCGAATGTTTCTAAACTCAATCTTATCAAGTGGCTTCAGGGCTAGTTCAAGTAGATCCAAGAGAATGAATCCGAACATAATACCTGAAAACATCTACTTTGAGGTAAAAACCTAAAGTAAATGCACCAACAATAGTAGTGGTTGACAAGCAGCCATGACACGTATTTCGTCCGTGCAAAGGGACTCAACAGATGGCAGTTAGAACTCAAGAATTTCAAAGTGAAATCCTAAGTCCTAAATTTATACTGTTACTTTGAATTCAAATAAATCCAAAGCAATGATAAAAATCTTATGACAGTTGTGTGACAAGCTGCCATGACACGTGTTTAATTTGTAAAAGAAAGACTCGAAATTCAAAGCATCACACGACGCGTTTCGACCTTGCTTAAGGGTCATCATCACGTATGTTTAGAATTTCTTAATTACATGCAAGTCAAAATTCACTCAAAAACTTGAGGTAGTTATGGCTTAATCGTAATTAAATAAAAGACTCAATAATATCATATAATTTAGAACTCAACAATAGAAATTCAAAGCATCACACGACGCGTTTCGACCTTGCTTAAGGGTCCTCATCAGGCTGGGTGTGGCTGTGGGTATGGGTGTGGGTGTGTATAAGTTACCACGATAACCTGTTATTAGATTATTTCTGATGTTTCTAAACTCAATCTTATCAAGTGGCCTCAGTACCAATATGAAAGACCCAAAGAAACTTTTGAATCAATACATGATCCCTGAAAATATCTACTTGAAAGTTAAAAAACCCAAGTAGATACACTAAATAATTTTATATAATAAAGACTTGAAATTCAATGCATCACACGACGCGTTTCGACACTTAGTCATGCTGTCAATCGTCAGGTATGTTTAGAATCTCATTATTACAAAACTCAATACTTTGGAAGAATTTTGAAAAAGCAAAGAATTGAACGTAATAAATCTTAAATTCTATAACAAGAGTATACATATGGAAGGTGAGAGATTGAAAGCATCATACGACATGTTTCGACAGTTGCTTAGGTTATCAATCATCAGGTAGGTTTAGAATTACTATGACTATGTTGTAGGTGAAATTAAAATCCAAAGAAATTTAAAATTCCCTTGGGACAAAATAAAATTCGACTGTTTCCTTTGAACTTTGTATGAAGAATTGAAGATGTAATTTACCCTGCAGGGACATTTTAAGTTCTCCTAAACAATGATTAGTATATCGTTATTTTTAGTGACATGTATTTTGTACTACCATGGTAATTTGTTATATTAATCGAGCAAAACAGTATTATCTTACAAGACATAACATAAAACAATTCGAAAAGAACAAATCACACATCAGTAGTTATATTGATCACAAATATTAGCACAAGTGTGTTTCTTTTGTGGATGACATTTTGTACAACATTTAACGTGTTTAGCTTTACACGGACAAGATTTCGTAGCACATTTACCATTACAGTTGCATGCTTCCGTTACTGGATTTATACCTACTGTAACGTACTCTTTACACGCTTCTGTAAATGTAATTATTGGTAGAGTTGTCGGATCAACATCACGTAAATCAGTAAAATCACATTTTCTTAAATCCAAGATATCCCGAACACCATATACTGTTGATAATACACCTTTCAAAGTACACACCTTGTACATCATAGAATCATTCAACGATGAATGAACAGATATAACTTTACAAGGTAAAATTTTTGATGTTGTATTCGTGCGATCAACATGATCGACTTGAAGGCCAACGAGGTCTCCCAGCTCGTACTGTTGTTTTTTTATAGCATTATCATATAACTTTTGTCTTTTAGCGATAGATTTCATATAATCAGCTTTTGTTTCGTCTCGAATTTTCTTATGCCTATGATTAACTGTATCATCAGTTGTACTAGGAATATTTTCACTATTATTCGTAACAAGAATATCTATAAAATGTAAGAAAAATACCGAAATGAATGTCTTAAGGCCACCCCCCCCCCCCCTCAAAAATCGATCTCGGCCTAGGTACGTTCAAATGGGCTGAAATTTGGAGCATGTGCTGGGGCTGAAGTGAGGAGGCTGTGGTAAAATTTTTCGCTCGATACCCTGATGTTTGACAGAGATGTGAACCAAACAAGGGTCAAAAAATAGCTCATCTCATCTCCAAAAATTCTCTGTGGACCCTCATTATATATATATAATATTTTTTTTTGTTTGAAAGCTTGTCTCTAGGGCTAGCCCCTCTCGTGGCCCTTTTTTTTAAATTCATGCTTTTTAAGCGAAGAAAATGGATGACAAGTTCGATGACTCAAAAAACCCGCCAAATAATGGTGCCTTTTCTATAAAGATGTGTTCTTATATAATAATAAAAAAGCTTATTTTAAAAAATGGGCCACGAGAGAAGCTAGCCCTAGAGACAAGCTTTCAAACAAAAAAAAGTATTTGACTTTGTATCGTACTGTGATAGGGGTATGTTGGAGATACTGGAAGCCATTGGACATAAAAAGACATATGCAGTAAAATTGTTATCTCTAGCTAAGTATCAAGGAATGGAGCTGAAATTTTCAGTGATGCGAGGATGACTCATTTCCAACATGCCCTGAAATTTTCAGCCCTGTACAATGACCTAGGGATGGAGAACCTGTTCTCAGAAGACGACGAAGTGTAAATCGGTGAGCAATGTTATTTTGAGGGAGGAGGTGGCCTTAATAAATAGTTTATGCTGTTATATGACAGACCTTGAGCAGTAGCATTATCATAAAAGTCGAAAAGATTGTGAGGAGGACAGGTTATATTTGTTTCATCACGAGTTTTATCAAGAGTGCTAACAGCATTGTTAATATTTTGAGTAGAAGACGACGCTAGTGATTGAAGTTGACATGTTGGATCAAGTATTTGATTACTAGTATCGAAAATGTTTAGTTGATTGTTATTGTCAATATCATTTAAATCATTTGTTTCATTATTAATCATATTACATTGATGTACTTAAAAACGAAATTAAGCTTTTCCAAAAGACTATTTGACTAATATAGAACTTACATTCATTGACTTCATAAATAAAATCATTAGGAAGATTTTCCTCATCTTCTACACCAGATTCACTAATCATTTTCCACGTTTCAAAATCTGATCTAGGTCGTTGTCCAAACACAATCTCGAAAGGGGTTTTATTTGTTACTTTAGCAACACTCGTATTGATTGAGTACACAACTGGACCTAAACCTTAACACGAATAATCAAAATACTGAGACATAATAAGCATAAATATGTATTTACCTGCCGACCAGTTATCGGTATGATTATGTTGCATCCATTTGTATAACACCATTCCAAGTGTACGATTACTCCGTTCGATTAGACCATGTGTTTGGGGATGTCGAATCCGACCATTTAAAATGACTAAATCTACCCAAGTCTTTTTCATATCCTACAAAAACAAAAGAATATGTTTCGTTTCATTTCATTGGAAATATTTTGTTGAAACATACTCTTATAACTCGAGCTACGAATTCCTTTTCATTATCGCTTTGGAGTATTCGAGGTGCACCAAATGAATAAAATTGATTCAACAGCTTTTCTGCTACAAGTTCGGGTTCTTTAGATTCAAGTGGATAAGCCCAAGAGAACCTCGAAAAATGATCCTTCACATGTAAAATCCATTTAAATTTGTCATCTGGACGGCATCTCATGTCGATAAGATCCATATGAATACGTGTTAAATATCCAACTGAGATAATCGATTTATCTATTTGACAAAAAAAAAAAGACGAATGTGTAAACGAACTTTAATACGGGCAAACGTCACTCACTGACTGAAAATTTCGCGAATATTTGTCGATTGCTACAGGAATCACATAACTTAATAAAGATCATAACAACATCGTAAGGTATCCAAGCATACTGAGCTTTGATCTAGAAATTTCCCTTTTTTTATTAAGAAAAATCATCATAGTTTACGTACTTCTTCCCATGTCTTGTCTCTTCCATGATGACCTACACGCTTATGGCATTCATTTAATTTCGTATAAAGTTCTTCATAAGTAACAACTGGACGGCTAACTTTTCCATTACTATATACAACATGTATTTCACCAATTTTAACAAGCATGAAATGCTTCTGAACCCAATATCGAAATTGTGCATCACCCCAGCCGTCACGTAAAACCAAAATAATATCGTCGTACATTTCTTTTTTAATTAAGTACTTAGCACGAAATTTTTCGTTGAGATTTTGAATATGATTGTCGAGTTTTTTGTAAAATATGTCCATGTTGCTATATAGAATTATATAAAAGTCAAATTTATTTTAAGGAATGTTGATTATATCAGACACATTCTTCTTTTATAGATCTATAAGTCTAATTTCTCTCTCTTTCAGCGACGCTATACAGTACAATTTCATGCTATTCTTTAGTTAAAGTTTTATATAGAAACAGAAATGATGATGTAATTATCATCGTTTACAAGAATTTTAAATTCTCCTGTAGGAGAGATTAAAATTTTAAGTTGCCCTACTAGGGGAGATTAAAATTTTAAATTGCTCTAGAAAAGATTAAAAGTTTAAATTCTCCTGTAGGAGAGATTAAAATTTTAAATTGTTCTAGAGGAGATTAAAATTTTAAATTGCTCTAGAGGAGATTAAAATTTTAACTTACCCTACAACAACAACTATATTTGAATCAGTAATGAATATTAGGGAAGTATATAAAACGATACAACCAAAATAAACATAGAATGAATACTAATTCGAAAAGCATAGTTAACTCATAAGCAAGTGAGGGCTGAGTGTACAAATGATAAAATAATTCCAAGCAGTCAGTAGGTTTTTGAGGGCGATTGTTGGAATCGAATAAGTGGAATATACAGAAGAAGAAAAGTTTGCTGCTAAAATAAAATCATGTTTGAATTGTTGGCTTTTTTTGAGCGTGAGTCGATAACTGGCTGACTGATTTTTATTAATGTTTGCTTTGATAATAACGGAAGTGTAAATAACTGTTATTATAGATTGATGTATCAAAAACCTGAATGTATTATTCTATAGAGCTCATCAAATTGTATTCCAAACAAGAATAAGAGATTGCGTTTCTTTCTTCTCTACGTAGTTACTATAATATTTCTCTGATCTCCTTGATTTATGTTTCATTACAAAAAATTCAAGACAACCGTCCTTTCAAGAACAACAAAAGCCACATAAGCACTCTTGCAGAACAAAAACAAATACAATTTTTCATGACATTTTCATGGTAAACAACAAATTCTCCTTGAAATGCAAGCAGATTGTAATGGGAGCAGCTTACAATTTTGTCACAGAACAAAATGGTTTTATTTTGTCGCCGAATTTTCATTGTAAACATTACCATGAATAAAATAAAATTCATGTTCTTTTTTTTCACGGAATCTGAGATTTTTTTTCCCATTAGATTTGTTTGCCAACATTCTTCAAAACGATAGAAATCCCACAGAAGCAGTAGTGTACTTTTTTTCGATATATAAAGAGCCTATGAATTTCATTTGGTCTTTAGTGTCGATAGAACATTGAATATTCTGTAATATTCATTTCTGTCTACATTGATTTGGACACACACCTTCAGCCACCCTTATGAGTTGTTTGCAAAGCACATCTACTAGTACAGACTTTATTTCAAAAGTAAATTATTCGGATCTAATTTAAGTCGAAGATCAGAATTCTTACTGAGAATATATGTACTCTTTTTTATGAATAGTATTTTATTAGTTGCAGATTTGGGAAAGAATATGAGTTTTCGACGAAATCAGCTAGTACAGAGCTCTCACAAGAGGAACGACAAAATTTCAGTATTTTCATGCCAAACTGTTTTTTAGATGGAGATGAGATTCTGTGACATATTCATTGTGTATTACTTCTTCGCACACTACTTTAATTGAAATCTTCTTTGACAATACAATGGAAAACAAAGTGTGCAAGATTTTTTCGCTACTTGATCAGTTGATTTCTATATAAAGAACAATAATCTACTTTTTTTTAGAGTTTTCTCATACTCGATATAAAAAAAAAGAACCATTCAATCAATTATCGTAACAAGTAAGAAGTTCAATGTATTTTAAAATTCATCTATTATCCGTTTCACAATATAATGCAGTTAGCTCGAGCTTTTATAGCCCAACGAAGGTTAAGACAATCGAGCTCAGGCTTTCTTTTCTTTTTTGTTTTTGTTTGAAAGTAGACGCACAGGGGGGACATAGTTTTGCATATCCAAGCCGATTCTCTTGAGGATTTTAGAACTCGCTCAGGAGGCTCTTGAGGACCTTTTTGGATTTTTCAAGAATCAGTGAAACCACAGAGACGAGGGGTGTTGGTTTTTTTCCATGGAAATTGTGACAAGTTTTCAGAAAGTAGGAGTTGATCACGCAGGGTGGGTGAGGGTGAGAACAGCTATTAAGACCGGTTTCGTTCTTGTTTAAGGGACTCTTCAATTGACAGATAATCTAAATGATTTAAAACAAAATAAATTAAGTCACAAGTGTAAACTATAACTGTTATACAAATGCCCGAAGATAAATATATCATGATACTGTCAATTCTCAGTGGTGAGAACAGCTACCAAGACCGGTTTCGACCTTGCTTCAAGGTCCTCGTCAGATATCTTTACAATTTATAAGTACATAGTAATCTGGATTACTCGAAATACAGCAGTGATGTAAGACTAAATCATAGTGAGACATTCGAATAAATTGTGGTTACTTTTGCTGTCGGAAGTAATATCATGTCTATCAGTGCTAATAAACTTGGCTCTTCTCTCATTGCTTGTCATATTAATCTCCAGCGTCCGCCTCTCTGATAAGTATTTAACGTGTAGGTGTGCATGTGGATTTCTGTCTGTTGTATTAATTCACATCCGCATCGACATCCATACTCACACTCATACCCACGCACCCTACACCTCCTCACAAAATCCACACCCTATTTCTCTGCCTGTTGAAGTTGACAATCACTATAATGAAAATCCGAGAAAAAAATATTATCGTCATATCGCAATAATTTTTTAACATGGGCATAAAAACGAGAATTATTTGTTTAGTTACTTTTATAGTTCTTTTTTTCAATAAATTATTACACTCAAATAATTTTTTTCCATCGTTCGTTAACAAGACATTCGTATTTATCACTCATTTGTATTTGTCAATTACTTTTTCCTACAGACAACCAACAAAAGAACATCATACATTCACAATGGCCCTTCGTATGGGTGGTGCATCACGTCCAATGGGTGTTCGGAGTTGTATAATTCGAAATGATTCTGATCAAGACGTTTACATTAATTTAGTGTATAAGCAATTTGAAGACGAAGCCGAAAGTAACATTGCTCACCAACATGATATAAATTTATCTCCAGGTGAAGCATATCAAGCTGTAGCTAGACAAGTCGTAATGGGTTCAGCTAAATTGTCGGCAGACATAGAAGTTATTGAAATTACTCCAGCGAATAATGAAACGATGAAACTCGAACAACCATTTGATGGTGTAGAAAAAATAGAACGTGACTGGCTTTTTGTCATTGACAATGAAGGTATCCATTCGGTTGGAAGGAACAGTGAGAGTGGACAATAAAATAGACTAGTTCTCAATGCACTCATAACTAAGAACATATTTTTTCCTTTTCAAGAGTTTCTATTAATCGACAGTAAAATCTATCTCTAATTTATTTTTAAACAGCTTGTTCGTAATATACTTCTTGAGGGTGGGGGTGAGTGTGTGGATGGGTGTGGGTGTGACAGGGTGTGGGGTGTGTATAAGTTACCACGATAACCTAAATTATTTCTGATGCTCAAATCTTTGTCAAGTGGCCTCAGTACCAGTTAAGTTGATTCAAAAGAAAATTTGAAACAACACATGATACCTGAAATATCTACTTTGAGGCATGAAAACACCTAAAGTAGATACACTCACAATAAAAAGTGGGTGTGTATAAGTTACCACGATAACCTAAGTTATTTCTGATGATAATAAATATAAAGTTGAAATTCAAAGCATCACACGATGTTTCGTCCTTGCTTAAACGACTCATCAGGTATGTTAAGAATTTCATAATTACATACAAATCAGAACTCGCTCAAATTCATGAGGAAGTTAAGACTCAAAACGTAATTAAATAACAACCATATATTTAAATAATAATAAATATAAAGTTGAAATTCAAAGCATCACACGACGTTTTGTCCTTGCTTAAGGGTCCTCATCAGGTATGTTAGATTATTATAGAATATAGGATTTTGAAAGCATCACACGGCACGTTTCGATTGCTGCTCACACAGTCTTCATCAGGCATGTTTGCAAACTATTATTACATAAATTGTATACTCTCCAAATTTTGAAGAAGTAAAGAATTAATCGTAGTAAATCGTATTTTCTATATTGAATTATAAATGATTTTCAAGATTGAGAACATCACACGACGTTTCGTCCTTGCTTAAGGGACTCCTCAGATATGGCTACAATCTATTATTAGATGAAAGAATCAAAGCCACTCAATAAACGAAGAGGTTAAGACTCAATTCGTAATAATTCGTATCTAATATTTTTCAATATATAGAAGATAAGAAATTAAATTCAAAACATGATCCGACGTTTCGTCCTTACTTACAGGGCTCATCACGCGTGTTTAGGGTTTTTGTTACATTAAGAATCAAAACCACTCAATAAATCGTAGAAGTTAATACTCAATTAGTAATAATTGGCATCTAATATTAAACATAGTAGAAGATAAGAGTTTTAAATGCAAGTACGAGCAATCCTTATTGGTTCCACCATTGCCTGACGATAATACATGATCAGATGGTTAAATTTTCATCACGAAGGACGAAAAATTGCTCTGATATGACGAGAAAGTAATAGTGTCAGGATACTCAAACTAAAATGTTCAAATACAAACAACCATTACCGGTTTGATTATTGTCTGACGGGACTATAGATCATCAGATTGTTGCATTTTCCTCACGAAGACGAAAAACTGCTCTGGTATTATCCGAAAGTAATAGTGTATCAAGGAATGGCATGACTGATATTTCGACCTTGCTTAAGAGTCTCATCAGATGGCAATGAGTCTGTTATGCTTGTTCGAAGTGATTTCAATTTTCAAAGAAATCATAAACAATGTGTAATAATCTATACAGAGTTCGAAAGTGATATGAAAAATCGAAATCAAAGGCGATAGATATCTTTAAAGCAGTGGTGTATCAAGCAATGCAATGATCTAGATTTCGGCCTTGTTTGAAAATCTCATCAGATACTTTTGTCTCTATGTTATACTCATTTGAATCAGTACGAGACGAATTTGAAATTACAGGCGAAGTACAATAATTTTTGCAGTGTATCAGATAGACTGTAAAGAATGTATTGGAATACTAATAGTAGTCTTTCTAATAGGGATGTGTCGAGAAGAACACGATGCGTTTGGATGTTATTTTCGGATAATGATCGGATTGAGTGGGTCAATGCACTTGAGCATGGAGGAATCTTCGGAATCTCGCACCATAATAACTCAGTAAAGATCGAGGTTGGTCTACTTGGAATTGACTGAGACTTTTTAATAAGTTCCTTAGCATTTCGGACCAAATCCTGTACAGTGCTACAGTATACACAGAGAATGTGCGTGTTTATGAATGCTCAAGTGTTGATATGGGTGTATTTGTAATAAAACTTCTTCGTAGCTAAGGAATCCTAGTAAATCATCGAGAAATAGATGCGTCCTATAGAAGAAATAAATCGCTAAAAGCATAAGCCTCAGTAGCAGCCCCTCCTATGAGAGCAATCTATTACATCAATATATATGTGAGTTGCATATAGCTTTCCGAAATGGATTATGATGAGTTCTTTTGCTCCACAAAGAAAATCACAATATTAGAACTGTCCTATTATTTCCTATGAAAATTTCAAGCAAGTCTACTAAATTTTCAAATAAGAAAAAGCAGAGATACATTATCAATGATTACCATCTTCTTTTCTTCTGAACCAGTCAACTTCAACTTTAGTGTAAATTTGCATCACTAAAATATCTTTCAATCTATCATTAACGAGAAATCATTTCCTTGAGAATGAAATGCTCTGAGAATTTCTTTGTAGCAACAAGAAAGATTCAGGCAGCACAATAATTTGAAATTCATTTCATTACATCTTTGTGCAGCAACACGAAGCTGCTACGTAATAATGATTTATTTGCATGCATTGTCGACAGTTCAAGGCAATCATTGCACAACTATTTTGCAATTCTTTCGGCGAATGGAGACTGTTGAGATTGCTGCGCAAACAATTCACGATAAACATCATCTTGAATTAGTCGTAAATCATGTTTTTTCTCTTCCGCATAGCAACATGAATATGTTCTTTCATGAATTTCCTTTTTGTGTCTTGTTGACGCTTGAAACAGTCATCGTGTAATTATTTTATCGTTCTCTGATCGAATGGCAACACTTGCTTCTTCTGTATTTTGTAGATTCTTGCGCAGCAATACGAAAAAGAATTGAAGTTTGTTTTTCTTTCATTTTTACATAATAAAGGGAACCTGTTATTTCATGACATTAGTTTATAATTAATTTATAATTAGTACTAAATAGTACTAGCAAGTGGAGAACTCAGAGATCTATACGACACGTGTTTCATTCTTTCTCAAGAGATTCGACGGGCATCTTTAGAGTTCTATAATTACATAAGTCTATACCCTCCAAATAACTGAAGTAGTAAAGACAAATCGTAAAAACTTATAAAAGTAGTTTTGTTAGAGTTTATAGTCAAGTAGCTGGCAAGACCGGTTTCGACAAGTGCTCAAATTAAACTTATCAATTGCTTGTGTTTGACTAAAAGATGTTATAGGAAAAGTAATAACACTCCTACAGTGAAAGCTAAAGTCAGAAGCTTTATGACAAAAACTCCCAAGCTAATAGACAATCACATAATAATATATTATCGGATGACTTCTATATAAGAGCAAGTACCCAACAAATTTTTAAAAGAGATTCTCCAACTACTATTCAAATAGTTATGTTAGAGTTTATATTCAAGTGGCTGACAAGACCGGTTTCGACAAGTGCTCAAATTAAACTTATCAATTGCTTTTGTTTGACTAAAAGATGTTATAAGAAAAGTAATGACTCTCCTACAGTGAAAGCTAAAGTCAGAAGCTTTATGAGAAAAACTCCCAAGCTAATAGTCAATCACATTTTGATATATTATCGGAGGACTTGTTATTAAGAAATTTTTATATTGAGAGTATCACACGACTAGTTTCGTCCTTGCTTAAGGGACTCATCAGGTATGCTTACAGTCTATTAGTACATATATCGAGGCCTCTCCAAAGGACGGGTAACATTTTCCTGAGATTTTGGCCCACTGTAAAAATAAAGGCTGTTTCGAGTGAAACTTTCAGCAAATACTCAGCTATATACCAGTAGCCACCACACAAAACTTCTTTTTTTTTTTTTTTTTAATATTCATAATTTATTGTGCCATAGTTGGGTTCACAAGAAAAAAGAGAAAAAGTGACATCAACAAGAAAAAAAAT